TAGCCTTTGTCATTTCTGAAAACCTTTTTTTCCTTGAACCTGCCTAGCAACTCCCACAGCAGAGCCAGCGCCATTTAGGAATTTCAGTCTCTGGTGTTGTCATGAAAAGTCATGTTGATAGGATGAAGGGTGCTATGGTCACCTCAAACTTTGTACCAACCTCACCATGTACTTGTAGCCAACTGTATAACCAAGTGACAGCCTAGCCACTTAAACTTGTCAGTGCTTTCTGGATGTGCATAGGACAGTCCTACAGGCTTGGACTTTGAGGCTGAGGGACAGTAGGGGTGGAGCTAGTCTAACAAGCTAGCTTAGCTGCTATGGCATACATCTCACATTGAATACAGTAGGGATAGTGCTAGTCTAACAAGCTAGCTTAGCTGCTATGGCATACATCTCACATTGAAGACTGCACCCTTGTGTGACTAGGGAGGCTAGCACAGAACAGGTGGCCTGCTTAAAAACAAGAAATTTTCCCACGGTTCTAGAGGCTGAAGTACAAAGGTCAGTGTCAACACAGATCTTGAAGAGGGTTCTTTCCTGGTTAATAGAGGGCAAGGTCTTGCTGGATCTTCATGTAACAGACATGAGTGAGCTTTTTTGTGTTTCATGCATGAAACCCAAAGAACCAGGGACCCTTTCTGTGCCTTCATTTCAGTGAAATTGCTTCCTTTGAAGGATGATCTGTAAATCATTTCCTATGTGGTTGTCAGACCTTCGGCATGTGAAATATTATGGGATGATACACTGAGTTTATCCCAACAGGTTACCTGGCTCACACCTTCCAACGAAGACAGCTCACCTCCATTGCTTAATGTATTGTCAACAACAGTAGCAACAGTCCAAACAGACCTTACAGGAGAGAGCTGGGGATGCTCCCTAAGGTTCCTGTCTAGGCAGTTAACTGGTCAGAGTGGCCAGCGCAGGTCTGTCTAGGCTGTTCTTGGGAGAGGAATGGGAGCTATAGCAGGACTACCCAGGTGCTGCCTAGGTGCTGCTATCTGCAATAGCACACAGACCTGGATGCTGTTGTTGATTTTACCCTACTTGCCATGGGACTTTGGGCAATTGCACATTACAAAGATCCTTTCGTGCTCCGCAGCCTCTGTCCTCCATGCATGTCAGGATAACACAAATTCTTGCCCTCGCACCACGGCTGGTTTCTTTTTGTTTTATTTTTTTATGTGTATGTTTTTTATTTCGTATACATCTGCATACCATGTGAGAGTGTGGTTCCTGTAGAAGTCAGGAAAGGGTGTCAGAATCCTGGAATTGGAGTTACAAATGAGGTGTGGGTCACCGTGTGGGTGCTGGGACTTGACCTTGGGACCTTTGGCAGAGCATCCAATACGCTTTATTTTGTTTTTGTTTTTCGAGACAGGGTTTCTCTGTATAGCTTTGAAGACCAGGCTGGTCTCAAACTCACAGAGATTCACCTGTCTCTGCCTCCCGAGTGCTGGGATTAAAGGCGTGCGCCACCAATGCCTGGCTGCATCCAATGCTTTCAACCCTTCTCTCTCCTTCAGTCTTGAAGTTGTGGAGGTTTTCTTCATGAATTGTAGGAGCTCCTCTCCTTACATAAATGTGGATATTAACCTTTTACCAAATAATGTGATTTATAAATGTTTCCTTCCATTTTTTTTTTTTTTTAATTCTGTTGGTAATATTCTTTTTTGGTTGTTGGCCTGGAACTTGCCATGTAGACCAGATTGGCTGCAAACTCATAGAGAAGCATCTGCCTCTGTCTTAGTGTATAAAACTTTCAAATTTTGGTGGAGTCTGATTATTTTTTTCATTTTGTTGTCTGTAATGTCATGTTTAAGAAACCATTGCCAAGTAGAATATATGATAACACACACCTGTAATCCCATCACTTTGGAAGCTAAGTCAGGAGGGTTGCAAGTTCAAGGTCAGTCTGGGCAATGAGGTCAGATACTCTCCTAAAATTTAAAAATGAAATGAAAGCCGGGGATGTAGCTCAGTGGTAGTATCTGCCTTGTATCTGCAGTCAGGGGCTTCATTCCCAGTGTCATAAAAAGTGAGAAGGCTGAAGTGGTTTGTCTTATGCAGTTGAGGGAGTCTCTTGTTCGTTTTGACATGGTCTCCCTCTAGCCCAGGCTGGTCTTGAATGCTCTTACAATTTTCCTGCCTCAGCCTCCCAAATATTGAGATTACAGTGTGACCCATCAGGCTGGGCTTAGGCTTTTTTGTTTGAGGCAGGCTTCACTATGTGACTGGGCTGGCCTACAGCTCTTAATACTTCTGCTTCAGGTTCTGGAACTTTGCAGCCTAGTCCATCAGGACTCCTGGTCTATTAGTTCCAAAGTTGCCTACATCTGGATTTAATGTCAGTGTGGTGATGATAGTATAGAGGTTGCTAGCAAGTGTTCCTTTCCCCTTCAACCTTGAGGGTTGAAGGAGGATCAGAACTAATTCTTGAAATGTTTTAAGATTTATTTTTATTTTTTGTCCATGTGTGAGTGCCTGCATATATGTGTGTGTACTACATGCATGCCTGGTGCCTATGAAGGCTAGAAGAGAACATGAGGCTGGTAGTGGTAGTACATACCTTTAACTCCATCAGAGGCAGAAGCAGGCAGCTAGTCTGCAGCTAGCCTAGTCTACATAGCATGTGCCAAATCAGCCAGATTTTATGAGAGACTCTGTCTCAAAACAGAAAAATACATTGATTCCCCTAAAGCTGGAGTTACAGATGGTTGTGAGACACCCAGTGTTGGTGCTGGGCACTGAACCTAGGTCTTCTGAAAGAACAGTAAATGCACTTAACTGTTGAGTTCTTGCTACATTGCTCAGCCTGGCCTTGAACTTCACAGTCAAGCAACCCTGCCTTAGCTTCATGAATAGCTGGGACTATACCAGTACACCACTACACCTAGTAAACTTAAAACATTTGAACAGTGTTGAATTTACAGAAAAGTTATAAGATAGAGCAGATGCACCCATGCCCTCATCTCTAGCAGGTTGTGAATGTTGGCTCTGTTTCTCAACATTGTTTACCTCCACCTTGCATTGGTTGTAGCCCAGGGTAGAGCCCTGAATACCCACAGCATGAGCTGTAATGTCTATTCTGGAGTGCTTCACCTGACTTCAGGCTGCATGGTGGATGAGCCCATGTGGCTCTACCTCTCCTCTGCTGGGCCCCTGGCAAGGTGTAGCCACTTAAAGAGGGCTGCCACCCTGCCTATCCAACCAGGACTCCAGTGCAGCTACCTACCTTGCTTTTGGGCTTGGGTGATCTCATGCTGGGAAAAAGTATTCATGGCTCCCAACTACCTCTCAGAGTTGGTGGTCTGGCTCTAGGGCCAAGTCTTCCCTCCCAGGGAATCATAAGGGGATGGTAGATCCTAGATACACCTGTTCCTGGTGGTCCCACTTATCCAGAGGGGACAGAGTACCATTATGTTATGAGCATCTCCTCACAGGTGACAATGTCTTGGTAGAACTTTACATATAACTGTGCACTCCTGTTCCTTTAGGGTGTTTCCTAGTGCCCAAGGAGGAAAATTCTTTGCCTGGATTATTCCCTTCATTGCATTCAGGCATCCCAACTCCTAGTCCCCTCCTGTGCAATATCCACGAGGATCCCTTTGCCTTATCTTCAGGACTCTCCATACCCTTTGCTGACACCTTTTGGAACATGCTGTGCTTCAAGCAGAGAACTAGCAGGAGTGTGGTCTCAAGCACCCATGAACCCTGGTCCTTTTATAGTGTCTGAAGGGTACGGCTGACCAGTTCAAACTCCTACTGGCTGGTCCTGGAGTGCCATCCTCAGAGAGAAGAAGCCTAGCCAGAGAGACACTGGGCTCTAATTAGAGAAACCTCACACTAATATTCCAAAGGTAGGGACCCAGCAGCAGCAGGAGGCCTGTAAAGTGTACAGCTGCATAACCTGGCCTGAGTAGTTGCCATATGACCTGATCTCTGCCTGAGCTGGGAAATGGAGCCAGAATCACTTAGGGCTTATGAGGGTTCTACATTTGTGTCCTGCTCAGAGGGAGTTACCTGTGTGTGTATGGAGGAGGAACAGCTCTGTTTGGGCTTTGTATTTGAGAAAGTCATTGAAAAACTCAACTGAGGCAGCACTGGGGCTATGAGTCCACTAATAAGTGCAGGTGTGCCACTGTGCTAGTGCCTAAGGCCTCTGGGTCCAGATCGACGACCTTGAGCTTCCCTGTGCAAGCAGCCAGCCTCTCCTTCTGTGCCCTCTTTCCTACCAGGCCATGGCATATGCCTCTGAGAATGGGGTCCTCACGGAGGCCATGATGGATGCCCGAGTCGAGGATGCTGTTCAGCAGCACCAGCAGAAGATGCAGTGGCTTAAAGTAGAGAGACCCAATCCCGAGGCCAGCGAGCCACCATGTCCTTGACTCCTCATCTGCTGGCTGGACCAAGACATCTTGTACGCCTGACTGGGGACAGCCAGCCTCTGTGACCACACTATTCTTCTTCTCCTGTCCTGAATGCCTTTGCCCAGCTGTGGGATGCTGGTGGTGTCAGCTTCTCTGCCTCCCACACCTCCTAGTCTCTCTCTGTATGAGTGCTGGCAGAGGAAGGCATGCTGCCTTCCTGTACCCCAGTACACTGGTAAGGCTTGTCTATAAGCCCAGAGCAGAGAAGGGAGGAAGCAGAGTGCTGCATCACAGGCCAATAGCTATGGCTGTGCCAGCAAGACTGGGACCTGCAGGGACCAGACTACAGGCAGGAAAGGCCTCCTGGACATTTCTCCTGCCCTGCATACTTCTGTGCCAAGAATTGGCCCAGCCTTTACTAGGTAGAGTGGATCTGGTGCTAGACAGCCTCTGGGCTGTGGCATCCAGGATTCAGAGGTGCCACCTTCCCCTTGACTGGATCTTTGAAATGTGGACTATAATAAAACTGTGACTGATTTGCTGGTCTTGTCTCTTGGCTGAGGTGGGGGGTCTAGATGAAGGAGCCCTCAGTCGTTCCTGGGATCAGAGATGATGCAAGAAGCAAGAGGCTGGAGCTTTCTGGAGAATTTACTGGCCAGGCAGGGTGGGCTTCACAGTGAGGGCTGGGACACCTGGGGCCACCACATCTTTATTGCTGCTGGGGGCCCGCCCTTCCAGTCCCACCCTCCAGTCCTCCAGTCGCACACGCCCCATGCACATGCTCCCGTGTGCAGATGGGCGCAGGCCCTGACACATCCCTCCCCTCCAGACGGACGGATGGACAGGTGCACAGGAAACAGTGGCTTTCAATGAGATGCGGCCTTAGGCTAGCGTGACCCAGGCCATGCCTATCCCCATTGTGAACCCACCACCCCTGGCCCCAGCACCTCTAAAAGCCTGCCTTTGTGTCCTGCTCACTGTGGAAACCAGGTTGCTGTCCCTGAAGCCCAGTGGCCATCCCAACCCCAGCCCCCACCCAACCCCCTTTATAAAAAGAAGAGACAGCACCTTCCACTGGATTTGCCTGCTGGCCACAGCCCAGCTGGCCACAGCCCAGCATATCCTGGGCCTGAGGCCGCAGTCCCGTCTCGCCAGCTGAGCGTCCACGAGGTCCCTTTACATGTGCACAGCAGCCCCGAGTCCTGTGCACTCACAGGTGCCGTGGGCTGGGGTGGCCGTTGTGGTAGAGCTTCTGCTTCACGTGCACCATGTTCCCTGTGGGCTCCTCGAAGGGCCTGTGCGGCCGCCGCCCCAGCTCCCGCAGGCTGCACAGCTTGGGCAGCCAGGTCCACGAGCCATCTGCAGGGGGACAGGGCAGTCAGGTGGCCGGGCTGGGCCAGAAGTGGTGCCCGCAGCAGCGCGTGGCACTCACCATAGCGCCGACCAGCCCTCCAGGCGCGCACAGCACAGTGCAGGACACCATCCATCCACACCAGGAACCAGCTGATGCAGAAGCCCAGAAGCAGCCCCAGCATAAGGTCGATCTCCTGCTTGGTCACATTGTCTGTCACAAAGTAGTTCTCAGATGCGTCCACCACCGACTGGTCCCCGTCGTATGGGATCACGTAGTGGATGTGGTGCCTGGGGGCGGCAGGGTGGGCTGGCACCTCTCCTGCCAACCCTGGCCCAGCCTTCCCCAGGTCCGTGCTGGGCTGGTTAGGGGACCCAAAGTGGATGGCTTGACTTCTACAGGCCACCCTGGGAAGTTCTCTGAAGCAATCCCTGTGTGCTGGGTTGGGAGGGGAAACAGCAGCCCCAGGCACAGATAAGGTCACCTGGCAGAACTGCTGGGACAGGTGGAGACTGTAGCCCTGGAGATAAGGAGTGAGGTTCAAGGAGAGTAGGAATGGCTGGGGTGAATACTCCCCCCAATACGCCATCCTTCCAAAAGTCTTGTAGCAGGGTTCACATTCACCTACTAGCCCTGAGGGTCTGCTAAGGTCCTAACACAGCCAAATGACCCAGGCCCACCCGACATGCCCTGTAGCCGCCACACACTGCTCTCAGGAGGCGACCTACAGAAACAGCATTTGTTCTTGTTCTCCCTCCCTGCCTTGGGCCTCTGGTTTTCTATATCTAACTCCTGCTCATTTTGCTAGAAGTTTGGGGAGTCTTTCCTCTCCTCATTCATGTCCAGCACAGACCCTCCCCATGTCTATCATTCTACTTACTGTTCTTCTAATGGGCCATTTTCAGCTATTGGTCCATGCTGGACATGCTTTAGAGCCTTGTAAGTATAAGCACCCTCTATGGCCTTGGTCTCTGTGCCTTGGCCACACTGTGCCTCTTTGCCTCCCTGTCCTAAGCTTCCTGGAGCTATCCATTGCTTTCTTGCCCCAGATCATTTCCTCTTGCACTGGAGTTCCACTATGGTCCCCACTGGCTGCTGATCCCCTTTCTTTCTGCCCTGCCGTTCTAGGTGTAGTGGACCAACTGATGGTTCAACTCCACAAAGCCAGCAGTCCGCATGTCGGGATCTATTGCTTTGGGTACCAAGAGCGCCACCACACTCTTAGCATCTTTCACCTTACAGACAGTATAATGGCTGCCTGGGCTTCTGCTATGAGGCTGCCTTTCCTGACCCACCCCCTTCCAGAGTCACTAGTGGGTAGGCCTTCTTTCCACTGCCCACCATGTCTGCTAGAAACTCAGCTGCCTTTGAATCTCCACGTGGGATCTACAGACACTTCAAACACATGCTAAAAATAGCTTCTCGCTTCCTAAACCTGCATCTCTTCTTCCTCTCAGTGAGAGGCTGAAACCTGTGTCTGCCTACAGTAGACCCTCAGCCTTTCCCTGGATAAAACTCCTCCTTCCTTGTGCCCCGTTGCTGATGTTGCTGGTCCCCATGGAACCACATGGGTAATTCCTCATCTTGGGGTTGGTATCTTTAAACCTGAGCCCAGGTGAGCAGGGAGAGGGAGGGGCAGAAGTGACACTCCTCAAATCCTCTGCTCTTAGGAACCCCAGGGGTTAACTCTGTGGTCTATAATTTGACCAATCCCAGAAGGCAAAGCTTAGGCTGCCAGCCCTTGGTTACTTGAGCTAGCATGACTGACACCTAGCAGCCATCACTCATCTGCTCATATAAGCAACTGTCTATCATCATGATGGATGAATGGATGCTATTAATCCTGGCACAGAAAGTATGGCTGCACCAGGCCCCAGGGCAGGTAGTGCTTCCAGACTATAAGGGCTTGTCAGGCTCTGGTGGGACTGGGTCAGCCTGGGCCCCACCTCCTTCCTCTGGACTGTCCCCAACATAGAGCTGTTCCAGGAAAGGAAACACAAAGAAGCTACCAAGGAGGCAAGAAGGACCCTAGGTAGCCTACAAGTAGGCCACAGGCCACAGCCAAACTGAGGCCTCAAGAATCCAGGGGTTAGAGGTACCTTTACAGTTAACTCTGGTAGCTATGATTCCTCCCCTGATCTGACCCCTCCTAATCCCACACCAAGCCCCTGAAGGCAAGGGCTTCAGTCTTCTGAATGAAAGCAGATGTGCTGTGTAAAATGAATGTCTGTGATATGTACATACATGTCCCCTACCTTCATGACACATGCTGCCATGTGTCCACTTGAGGTCAATGTGTGTCCGGTATACACATTGTCCGCATGCACAGGACATGGCATGTATACTGTGGACACGGGTCCCACAAGCCCCACACCCATGCACTGTGCACACTTTGGTATGAGCATGGTGCCTCACACAAAAATGCACATTCACTCAGCTTTGAACCACCCTCTCTGTGGGATGCTGTCATGTGCATGGATCTGTGTGTACACACAAATGTTGCCTGCTGACGTGCTTTGTTCAAACATTAGTTTACATACATATTCTCTGTCTAAAATTCTGCAAATAGCCATGTACAAGGCAGACACATGTGTACACTTATTCTGCAAAGTATGTACACATAGGCAAACTGTTGACACCACATGTGTACATGGCATGTGCACAGATACCCCATTTGCAGGCTAATCTGCAGTCATTACACCCACGCTGCAATGTTCTGACATTTTCCCTGAGCACACTGAACTGTATATTGTTTTATATACATGTACTTTGCATACACATATATGTAATCAATATACAAAAGTGCTTTATACAACAAATTTACATACCCTGTATGTAGAGTTGTGTACAAAGCACATACATGTAGACACTCTTGCGCACACAGGCCTTTCTTCAGGTTCCAATCTACAGGTGTCTGTTTACATGAGTCCACAAGTACTCTGATGCTACATGAGATGCACATATATAACCTGTATAAACAGACTCTAAGAACATACCCTCTGTGCTCCAGTAAACCATTTAGTGTGCTGTCACAGACAGTGCTGAACCAACCCCATAACCACAGCCCCCTTATGTAGTGTCCATTCCCAATGTTCATGGGCCCAGTGACTGGATTCTGTCTTGGGAAGGCTTCAGAGCTCATCTACAGACATGGCCTGGGAACAGTAGAGCTGACCTCAAGTCTCAGCCCTCTGATGTACCAGACAGACACATAGTATGCACTAAGATGGAGCATAGGGCTCTCTGGGAATGTGTGGCCACACAGCAAACTTTCCTACCATGCCCAACGCATGTGAGGGCACATACATCCCTTTTCTACTTGCTGTAATGCCCATGATTTGCAAGACACTTGCCTATACCCATACCCATATATGCACTTAGAAGACATGCAACTGTCCTGATCTACCCTACCCTACCCCCCCATGTGTATGTAGACCTCTGGGGGAAAGGACCTGGTGGGGAAAGGAACTGAGGTTCTGTGATTCTAGCCCCATTCTTTCCTAGCTGTGTAACCTTGGGCAAGTCTACCCTCTAAAGCCTTCATCCACTTCCTCCTAGGCTGTCAAGTAGGGACTGTTATCACATGAGGGCATCTCTGGAATGAGTGCATGCGGATGTGCGAGTGCGCTGTGTACGCACATGTATATGCACAGACAGTACACACATGCGCGGCTCATGAGAAGATGTTTATTTCATACATGGACATACAAACATGCAAGGCCAGAAGACTTCATCACTACACATGCACAGAAGGGGAGGTCCCTGGAGAGTGTGGTGGGTCTCATTATGACCTTGAGCAAACCTCAGCCTACTTCAGCTCCTCCTCTGCACAGTGATCAGTTGTGGCAGGTGTTCCTCAAGGTAGGCCCTTTCTATCTCAACCTCCTGCACTTGCCTACTATGGGCACAGCACAGGCCCAGGAGGAGGACTTGGGCCATAGGTAAGACTACTGTCCCAGGCTTAACCAGCTTCCTGGCTTCCACTGTGGGCACTACTCAGGGCTGCTACTCTTAGGCCTCCAGGCCTTGAACCAGGAGGCTCCATGGCCCATAATGCCACCACCAGGCAGCGTTTTCTCTAAAGGAACTAGAGGAAGGGGTTCCTAACAGACATGCTTCCTTTCCCAGGGAGGCAGCGGGCTGATCTGGGGTTCCCGTTGGCAACCCCTCCCCCAGCACCTGGCGGGCAGAAGCGGCCCCCACCATTCAGCAAGGCTTTGCGGCCCAGCCTGCTCCCGGCTCACCGGCCGAGTATACTGGGCCCGCTGCACAAGTGTGATCACGCGTGTAGTGCCTAGAGCCGGGGCGCACTCACCGGCCACAGTTGCAGTGGCAGACGCGGTCCTCGCCCCGCAGGTGCGGGAGGATGTAGTTATGGAATCGGTCCAGCAGCGCGTTCATGTCCATCAAGCACGCGATGGCCTGGAAGAGCCCATGACCAGTCAGGGCGAAGAGTGGGCCGGGCCGAAGGGGGTGCCG